GCGAAGCATGCTCGCGAGCAGAGCCGCCTGAAGCGCGAAGTCGTCCAGCTCAAACGCGAGATGAACAACACGAGCTCCCAAGATGAGTTTGCCAAGTGGGCTAAGTTGAGAAGGAAGCATGACAAAGCTATGGATGAATATGAGGCAATGAGTGCGTACCCTGCTCTTTTTACGCTGAAAAACTACGCTCCTCACTGCACATTACGAGGCTCAAGCCCAGCTGATTGATCGCTTTCAAAAATAGACAAGAAACTCACGGCGCAGAAGACCTCGTTCGACTGGAGCGTCAAGATCGCTCGTTGGCTCAGCACCAACGGTCTCAAGATTTTTCTCCAGTTTTACTACTCCAAGACTCCTGTCTTTGCGCTTCCCGCAGGCTGGTTTCCTTCCTACGTTGAATGGGTACTGTCATTCCCCCGCGCACCTCGCGGATCGGTGAGCGTCCAAGTTTGGAATAGTGTCTGTGCGACAGCGATTGCTATCCTGGCAGAGATTGTTACCTCTCTGTTGCTGCAGTTGAGAAGTCGGACTGCAACCCCAGCTTCGACAGCGAAGGCTCAAGAGGCGCAATGAATAGAATGAATGTTATCATGTTATAAATTACGCATTACGGAAAATGTAGACTAAAGACGCATGGAGTACCTTGATTGTTTTGTTCTATAAAAAGCACACCGGAGGGAACATGTTCGTCAGATATGAAAACAATCGTTTATCGTCACAACCCCATGCCGTAGCAGGAGTATCAGGGCTTGACTCTATGATTGGTATATCATCATACGAACGCAACGTGCATGTCAACGAAAAAATCATAAACAAAAAACAAAAAATAAATAAAAAAAAGAAAACCGAGTCCGGCCCCTTCGACAGGGCTTCTGTGACCATAGAACCAGCCACCGCTTTGCAATAAGCTACAGACTCAAAAGTAAAGAGCGATGAACTCCTCGCCTCAAGAATGAGCCCCATTGAGTTACCCGATCCTCCCAAAGGAGGATCAGGGCAATCGCATGACTATCCAAACACGACGAAAGGCAACCCAATGAAACAACCCCTCTCCGACACCCCGCTATACCACCATTGTTACCACCGCGAAGGGCGTAGGATATAGGCACGGGCGCCGGGAGGGAGTAGGGCAGTCAGCCGCTATCAAATTGCTTCTATGGCGGCGCGTTTCCGCATTGCCTGCCACGGATTCAAAGAATCGGGCAAGGTGTCCGGGGACTTTCTCCCAAAGCTAGGTTCCTCTGGTAAGAGGAAGGAGAATACCGGGTAGATATTCTGTGCGTGAGCTTTGAATGCGATTCTTTGAGCGAGGAGTTGAGGAAAGAAGAAACGGAGTTGACAGGAAAAAGTTTCGGTTTTTCAATACTCGGTTGACCCGCAGGTAGAGTCTAGTCTATTTGAGGATTAGCGTACCACGTGATATAGATCGATATCCGCCAATCACGTTGTGTTTGCGTTAGGTATGAGGTCTCAGAAATTCCATACTTCTAGAATAGTTATGCAGTGCACATCGATAGCAGAGAGTAGAAGTAAGATGGGCTTGGATATATATTCAACATCATGGCTATGAGTGATATAGACTTGTGAGGTTCTACTTGAAGCCGAGCAGGCTAGAGCGGTTACAGCAACTCTTGTCACAGACATATACATTCAACAATTTATCCCAAACAATAGCAGACCCTTTTGTGCTAACATGATACAGAGAACACGAAAATGATAGCCCTACGCCTTCACCTTCTTAGCCTTCTTGTCCTTGGCCCCAGTTTTTGTAGCTGGTGAAGCGGCAGCTCCGTTTACTCCCTTTTTCGCCGACGACTTTTCGCCATGCTGCTTGGGTGTCCCCTGCTTAGGAGTCGATTGGCTTGCCTTCTTCTCCTTCTTAGACTTCTTAGGAGTCTCGTCCACGGCGGTCTCCTCCTTGGACTCCTTAGCCGAGGGTGCCTCGATAGCCTTCACGGGCTCATCGGCAGTCGCATCGGCAGCTTCGATCGCTTTGGTCTCTTCTTGGACAGGAACATCGTCGACGCTCTTCAGCTGGGGAAGCTCATACTCATAACCCAGAGCCTTCAGCTTCTCGGCCTTTGCAAGTCGTCTCTTCTGTTCCCGCTCAATGCGCTCCGACCATTGTTCCCTCGTCTTGCCCTTTTCCAGCCTCTTCTTCTCGATGCGGTTCCACGGGGTGCGCTTGAATCGTCTGTTGGCACCCTTCCAGACCTCCGGGTGCAACTGATCTGAGGGGACATATTTGCATTTCAGGATATGGCCGTACATCAGGTAGTTGTCCATAGTCTCCGCGACAATCTTGGCAACAGTGTTCGAGGCGAACTCCACGAAAGCGTAGTGCTTTGAGCGACCGGTGATGCGGTTACGGGAGAGACGCAGGCGAGTAATTTCGCCAAATTGGGAGAAGTAAGCGCGCATCTGATGTTCGTAGAAACCGTGGGGAATACGTCTGTGGAAAGGAGATGGTAAGACTTTGTCACGGCGGAACAGCCAGGCAAAAGAGGATTGCGGAACTTACCCAATATAAACTGTTCCAGGCGTTTCGGGCTCACCGTGCTTCTTTTGCTTCTTCAAGATCTTGCGCTTCGCCTTCTTGGAATCGGGGATCTTGGGAACAGGCTGGTCAGGGTCAAATCCTTCGTCTCCGGATTCGTCCTCATCGCCACTGCTCTCAAAGCCCTTGATCAAAGCAGCGGTCTGATCGTCTAGCGTATCATCTTCCTCGCCATCAGAGCTGTCATCAGAGACCACAGGGACCTGCTCGTTATCCTCATCATCCGACTCTTCGACGGCAGGCTCAGGCTTCTTTGCCTTGGGCTTCGCAGCAGCAGCACTTGTCTTGGCTTTTGTAGCAGGCGCAGGGGTGCCGTCTTCCTTCTTCGACTTCTTCTTACTGGGCTGCTTCTTCTCTTCGGTATCGGCCTTGGGTTCGGACGCAACAACTTCCGGCTCACTCTCGTCGTCGGTGAGGAAATCCGCCGCACGCTTGCGAGGCTTGACTTGTCTTGCCGGCTCGCCATTGAGCTTCACTTTGGAAGCGGACTTTTGCTCTGTAGCAGCGGCATCCTTCTTGTTCTTCTTCAGAATAGACTTGGTGGTTTCTTTGGGAGCTTCGCTAGGCTTGGCCTCGACCTTCTTGGTCTTCTTCGCGGGCGAGTCGGCGGCTACTGTGGTGGCAGCTGTATGATGTTAGAAAACAATGCAATAGCAGAAAGCCATGATAGAGAATGAACCTACCCTTGCGCTTCTTATCCTTCTTATCGGGTGCCATATTTCTGGTTATTGTGTGTTGTATGCTAGGTTGAAGCACCGCAATCTGACCCTACCAAAAAAAGGTGCGGGAAACTTTTTTTTTTGGTCTCCCATTTTTTCTCCGACGGGTCGACCGCCAAGCGGTGAGCTTGGTCTCCGCAGGCACCACAGCGGGTTTCATCGACACAGGAACCAGTAACTCATCATCTACATAAATACAACTGCTTACAAAATGGGAAAAGCCAAGAATGCGAATAGGCCTCTGTCACAAGAAGAAATATGGGACGATTCCGCCCTCGTTCAAAGCTGGGATGAAGCAGTCGAAGAGTACAAGGTACGTTTCCTGTACATCTCACGTGACTTGTATCTAACGGAGTTGCAACAGTTGTATCACAGCATCCATGCCAAGGGAGAGAATGTGGAAGATGTTCTAAGAGAAGCAGAGGCTGCGGAGCGTACCGGGTTGGATCAGGACGGGCAGCAGCCTGATGAAGCTGTCGATGCCATGGAGGATGATGACGCAGCAGCGGCGACAGCATCTGCTACGGCAGAGCAAAGCTCATCAATGCAAGTACCAGAAGTGAGTCGTCCCTTGCCGCATCGAGCAAGCGAACTTGGCTTTCTAACTCTTTTTAGGCAGCAGAAGAGCACCCGACCCCGACTGATCACCACCCCTCCGGGCCGAAACATCCAATCCAGCCTTCTCCTGTGGGAGGAGCTGCAATGCCCCATGCTGCTTTAGCACAAGGTAACCTTCGCTGCATAGCCTTAGCGCCGGCGGTGACTAACTTTGAACATTTTAGTCCAGGATGAAGGGTTGAAGAATCTGATGATGGCCTGGTATTTCGCCGGGTACTACACCGGTCTATATGAAGGGCAACAACGAGCGAGCCAGAACAACAATTCATGATGTTGTCCTTAGTACTCGAAAGGGATGCGACTCTGAACTAGGAAACAGATAGCCTGTTTGAAGGCCTGCTTGAGACACGGGAACAAGCTCACAGGGAATCTTTGAGCCCCAGAGCAGAACTGGTTCCACTGTTCGACGAAACTACGCAGAATGGTGTGGTCGGGTATACATATATCTCCACATGTGAGCCTACGTCTTCGGGAGCGACTGGATCAAACTGCAGACAGCCTGACCAGGGATGGAGACAAGAAGGATTTATTTGATCATTAGCTTATTGTCCAGCACTGTCCATCCGCCGCCATGACCTCCAATATTGTACATATAATTTCGCTATGAGCATCACAACAGATTTGGCTCGGTGCTATAGTGTTCAGGCCAACGCAAACTCAGTCAGAAAACCGGGTCCCTAATCATCTTGGACCAGTGGGTGCTATCGGTGCTCTGTTTCCCTCCGTTCGACCCCGAACGTGTTTCCAATTTCCCAAGCAAGTGACGTCGATGCATGATGAAGTACATCCAAAGACGGAAGCTTACAGCCTGTTCCATCGTCTTAACATGCCGTAGACCCGTGATATTTTTGAAGTTCAGTAGGTAAAAGAAATTTCGTTGTCATTTGAGATTCTAATTAATGTACGAGTCGACGGACCAATCTTGTTTCCACCGCACCACAAAACATCCGACACAATGTCGCTCCCAAGTAGGAAAGCAAGGCATTGACTGCACTCAACGGTTCCGACAAAAACCTCTCATCCCTGGAAATCAGAACTTCAGCCAACATTTTCAACCGCCCCGGCCGAGCTACACGCCCCCACTCTGTTTTCGACACATATGTAATCTACCGAGTTGGCAGAAGGCTTCCCAGACCCTCACCACCTCCCAACACACCTCCAATGATGGGAATGTGCGAGAGCATGTTTGTGCTGCTCTGCTTCTTCTTCTTCGGAGCAGCAGCAGCAGAGCTACTGGCAGCGGCGGGGGTCTGCACCGTGGTGCGAGTGCCCGATGGGATGGGCTGCGGCGTGGTGGTTCCCTCCTTCACATTGGCTCCATGAGCAGCCGAGGGCTTATCGGGGATGTCGTTATTGTCGTTCTTCTCCTCCTTTACATTCTCAAAGGCCTGATTGAGTTAGTATGTGAGTCTGAATTGAACAACGTGCAGAAATACGCACCTTGAGAGCGTTGAGAGCGGCTGCTACGGCATCACCGGCGTCCAAATCGTCGTCACCACGCTTGGCGGGCAAGGCCGAGGCCATGAGGGCCAGGAAGAAGCAGAGAGCAAGGAAGGATAAGCTGAAACGAGCCATTTTGGATGAGGTGAAGAGGTGGTTTTGCGATTATTGTGGACGTGATTCCTGAAAGGAAAGGATATCTCAAAGGAGAGGACGCCGTCAGGCACAAGAGGAGAGTTATCTGGCTTGCAACTGCAGTGCTTCACACCGAGACAGTCAAGGAGGAAAATTCAACAGTTGACCATCAGCGAGGTCGAGACCATGCTTTATAGACAACATTCTCATACTGGGGAGTGGAAGGGGGAGTGGAATGTCAAATCAGAGAACCTTTGCTCCCCTTATCGGATTGCGCGTCTCTACGAGACTACTTAAGGAATGTCACCAACCTCGTCTATCGAATGTAAGAGCAAATTCTCCTGACGGAGGTTCGCGTATGCAAGTTCCGCGGGTCAGCTACGTGCCTTGGTATTAAGCAAGGGAGGAACATCAAACTCACCTCTGCAGCTTCAAGGCATTGGCCCTTGAAGACTTCAAAGTGGGTTTACATTCTGACCCAAGGAAAGAAAGAATGTAGATCGTGGTCTGCCCTTGGAAGCGCCACCTTACGTAGCTGGCTTGACGGGGCGAGTCCGCTTCAGAGTCAAGATATTCCAGGCGAAAGCTTAATGATGTTTGAAACAGAGCTGCACGCCAGGGTTGATTTTTTGAAGTACGATAGGTGATAGCGCATCAGTGAGTAGTAAAATAGATTCATTCATGGTTCGTGAATTATGAAAACTAAGGGACCACGACACATTCCACCATCGATGGTACTGCTAGTTGATACCTGTGGAAGATCATGCAGCCATGCAGAACAGTACTACAGGAATGTACCTCCCTTCTTTTGACACGTATCGCTCCATGTGATTGAGAGCGGACGCAACACGAGGGAGGTCTTAAGCAACAAGATGTTGACTCATTCTCGGCACGATTTTGACCTCGAATATCATGGAAGAGATGACGGACGAGACTTCGAAAATGCCTGATGATCGTGTGTAGAAAAGCGAGAAAGGTTGCGGCCTACGAGGAGTCAATACCATAGTGACCTGTAGGTTAGTTCGCGAGCGAGCATTCAGCATTGATCGACGGAGGGTGTCCAGGAGATGATCATCTTCATCCCATTTGAACATCCATTCCATAAATCGCCGATTGCGATTGAAGCAAGAAGGAAAGTAGTACTGGACATCCGCCCTAGAAGATATCGGAATTGACTCCCTTCAAGGGATGTATGCTCAAAAGCGAACCCAACCACCTCGTGCGCGTATGGCAGGTGTTGGGATTAGAACGAGCACGCGATAATCGCTCTCGGTCTCAAATCTAAAATTTGCAGACGGAACGGAAAAGCTTTGATGGTCAAAACAATCCATCAACAAGGGTATGTTGGAGACCTGGTAAGAGAAAAAAGAAGAGAAGGAGGTGAAGGAGAAATGAAACGCAAAATTTATTCCGTGGTGGAAGACTCGAATTAGGTAAGCAAGCTTGTGCGGTCAAACTTCCTACCGATGCCGAAGAAGATTTGAAGCACGGAATAGCTAGTTGATTGCATAAACAATGGTATTTACGTCTCGTAAAGTATACAAAATGGATATATCGCTGATTGCTGTCCTTCGAATCTTATTAGATGGCAAACTCATGGTTATTTTTCGACCCAAAAAGTCCTTCGACTTAGAAGCGAGCGAGCACTCTCTCCTGAGTGTCACCCAGGGCCCACTCGTCGGTGTGCTTCTTGCTGAGGACCGACTTGACTTGCTCGGCTGTGAAGCCTTTTGCCTCGACGGCTGGGTTGTATCCCAATCCAGTGATCTTCGCGACAACGTCTGAAGGAACTGCAGCTGCAACCTTGCCGTCCGCACGCTTATATACAGTCACGACGACGGCGCCACCCAAGCCAAGGTTGTGCTGCAGTGCCGCATCTGTTCCCTGGATCAATCGGTTGTTGGCCCATCCTCGCAGGTGCCAGACCAGCTCAGCACACTGCGCAAGGCCGGTAGCACCCAGGGGATGACCCTTGGAGATGAGACCGCCCGAGGGGTTGATGACCATCTTGCCTCCATAGGTGATATCCCCTTTGCGAACCATCTCGTGCGCCCTGCCAGGCTCACAGAGCTCGAGTGCGTCAATTGTGATCATCTCATTGGCAGAGAAGCAGTCGTGCAGTTCGCAGACCTTGATGTCCTTGACGTCGACGCCAGCCTCAGCAGTGGCCGCCCGACAGGCGTAGCGGGTCATCCCAAAGCCCATCAGGTCGATTGAGCTTCTGTTGTAGAGAGTGGGTGTGTCCGTTGCAAGTTGCTGACCTGCGATCAGGATCGCCTGTTCTTTGAGGTGAGGACGAGCGTCCAGGAATGCCTGGGAGACGATCACAGCGGCAGCACCCCCGTCCGAGGTTGGACAGCACTGCAGCTTGGTGAGGGGCTCGTGAATCATAGGCGCCTTGAGAATCTGCTCGAGCGTGTATTCATCCCGGAACTGCGAGTAGGGGTTTCGCTTGGAGTGTTCATGGTTGATACGAGCGATTTCCGCAAAGTCTTCGTTCTTGGCTCCATACCTGGAGGAAGTTAGTACGGCAGGGTAAATCATGCAGCATATAGTATGGTTCAACATACTTCTCCATGTACTCCCGACCAGCATTGCCAAACATCTGTGCAGCACCGGGGGCATTGGTGACTCCCCTCGTCTCAGCCATCATCATACCGAAGAGACCAGTCGGATTGGCCCGGTCGTTGTAGACCGACTGCAAGCTTCCAGGGCTCATCTTCTCGAAACCAACAACCAGAACACAGTCTGCGGCGCCGTGGGAGACCATGGTGCGAGCCATGGCCAGACCGGTTGAGCCGGTTGAGCAGTTGTTGTTGACATTGTAGATGGGGATGTTGGTCAGACCGAACTGATAGAAGACACGCTGGCCGCAGGTGCTGTCACCGTAGACGTAGCATGCAACGCCTTGGTCGACATCATCGTAATTGATGTGCGCGTCCAGCATAGCCTTGACGCCAGCCTCAAATCCGAGTTCATGGTAGTCGACCTTGCCACGAGGCTTGATAAACTTGGTCATGCCCACGCCTAGGACATAGGCGGGTGCTACTTGTTTCTTTCCCATGCTGATTAGTGGGGCCCTGAGGGGTACGTAGTTGTTGTATCTTTGCAAGGTAAAAGGTTAGGGATATTGAGCACCGGATCAAAGGAAGATATGATTGTCATAGATATAACATTTGCCGTCAGCGAGCGTGTGGAGAGCTCCTTGAATGCGGAGAAGAAGAATTGTTGTGATTAGACCGGTAGTTGTTTGAAAGCATCCCCATTGGATTGCGGGGAATAAGCCCGCTGCCGCGACCGAGGTCCCGAGGATACTTGGTTGATCATGCTGCCATGCATCCATCAGAGTGCATAAAGAGGATATGTACGGGTATCGTATGGTTCACATGATTCTCCCCTGCATACTCGGGGTTTCTTTTCATGTCCGTATTCTTGATTGACTTGGGATAAAGATAGAATGAAGGCAGGCGATATCATACCGCATGTGAATGGAGGTGGGCCTCAGGGTGAATCAATACATTTCCAGATTGAAGACCTTTCAGGGACATAAATATTTTAAGACTTAAGGGTCTATCGCAAAGACAGTTGAGGTCATAAGCAATGAAGAGCTGAGTGCTGTTAATGTTCAGCCCATTAGAAGTAGAGGTGGTTAAGGACTGAAAGAATATGAAGACCTAAGATGAAGCCTAAGCAGCAGGTGAAGGCTATCGCCAAGGAAACTATGGAGATATGGTTGAGGATATCTGGCCTTTAAGGGGAATAGCAAAGAAGAGAAATAGGTGAACAGTGAAACTATGTGTGTTATATTGGCGTTTTCTAACAATGTGCTCTGTACAGCAACACCTGCTTTAGCGAGCTGTGCATGAATATATTTTAGATAGATGATTGCACGCTCCAAGTTCCCAACCTCATATGTACTACCTTACCCAATGGCATCTATGCTGAATGAGTGATCATCATTGACATTTGTCCACAACAGTTCTATGGTAACTTCCCAACCTACTGTCCTTTGTTACTTTCTCTTTAATGCTATGGCTTGCTGATTAAGGGTGGGTATAAGATCATCTGTATATTCAGAGATTGCATAAACAGACTAAATAAATTCATGGATCATCAGCGATCTCCCCCTATTGATCCAAGGGACGTCCTGAATAAGTTGAGCCAATGCCATCATCGATTTCATGTGTGCTTGTTCGATCGATCGCACCTATAGGTAGGTAAGTAGTATCACCCTTTGGGAAACTCTGCTCGTGCTCCGGTCTGGTAATACATTCATGAGAGGTACAATAGTGCAACAGTGTTTCGTCCTCAGTCGAATGGTCTTGTACGAGTTTCGTCAATGTACTCTCCTCTGACAAGCGATGGCCTGATACTGACCAGTGACCCATGCCTGAGGAATCATAGTGGCCCGCCTGCCTTACAGTCGTCCGAGCACACACCCTTTTCCAATATACGGAGTAGAGCCAATCAAAATGGCAGCTGGATAGGGCGGGGTAAACGCGACCAGCACCAGACTGGCTTCGTCTGCAGCAGCATCTCCCTTGCCACGACCGCCACATCGATTCTTGAGTACAATCCTGCATGATAACTGGTTAGTCTGCCAGGGAATTGGGGACGATACTTACCTTAGGTAGCTAGTAGCTACTCCATAGTGAGTTAGTGCTTTTATAGATATTTCCCTAAGAGCTACGAAATGCTCAGCTGCAATTATGCCCATAGCTCAAGCTTAACAGCTGGTATATTGTAGAATATCTTCTCAAGCAGGAGCAGGAAAAAATTGATCTGCAAGCGACCCTGTAGCCCGGCCATTATACCCCTTCTTCATTACATGCAGTCCGACTCCTCCAGACGGGCGCACTGGATGCTTCACGACGACGTCACTGAGCCAGAGCCCCTAAGCCATTTCGAGAAGTCCGTGATCCACCACCGCAGGACGGCCCACATGCCTGCCCGAATTCTGAGGTTTAGTTGCTGTTCGGACTTTGAACTAGGCTAGTCGCTGGTGGGAGTAATCAACTCAGTTCATGGGTCGTAGTCTGGCTGTCTGTTTGTCCTTCTAGCGATCTCTCCTCTTCATACTCTGTCAAGTGGTGACCGTTTTAACTGGTATTTCCACTGAAGAGGAGACATCGACTTCACACGAGGTAAGTGCTTGATTATGGCCCCCCATGCAAGTTCCGGGATTTTTCTTCTGCTCGCAGAAACGAGAAAATGCTGATGCAGACTTGCTGTTTGAAGCTCTGTCTCTGCTATGGTATAGTGCGATCGAATTGCCTCGTCAGTTCGAAGCTTTTGAATGCCGTAGACAGGCCAAGATTTCGTGAATCACCATTGTCGCCAGAGCTCTGCCAGTTGCTGTCCTCCATTGCCGGTCATCCTAGCCCCTGGCTCTCCTCAAAGACGAAAGCAAGATCATATACAGGGGCTGTTTCAGTCCGCTTCATGGACAATTGTGGGACGCTGAACGGTCTGCTCGCACCTTGAGAGACCGCTTTGCGTTCCATAGGGTTCCCCAGCCTACTGCTCACGATATTGGATGTTTCCGCGTCGCACTTGACTTCTGCCGACTAAGCAATCAATTGTAGCAGAACTCCTCTACTTTCTGCCCCAGATGGGCAACTTTCAGGGATGACTTTGGACAAACACACTGAACATGCGCCCTTTGTGTCTTCACCTCCACAACCTTCCACTGTCAGAATGCGAGCGGATAACACCTGGATTATGGATGATGCCACACGCAACAAACTCTTGAAGAAATACAAAACCCAGGTGGCGTCGGCGACTTCGACAATCTGCGCGACTCTCTCTGTGGTAAGTGTGGATTATCGAGTGCTGACATAGCGGGATGGATGCTGATATGTCTGTTTTCCTGAAGACTCCCTTGGAGAATATCAAGACCCGTATGCAAACGTATGTTATTTCTTTCCGCAAATTCACTGCAAGAAGGGAGCTGGCAGAATTGACTCCGGAACAGACACAACTTCCAAAACGTCTTCCAATGTGTTCGCTACCTTTGGCGTACCGAGGGACCCCGGGGCTACGTCGCTGGTAGGTTGACACCGCTCTTGAGATCTACGCAATCGACGGGTCTAATGTTCGAAATGCAGGAGCTCTGCCTCCTCTGGCAAGTGTCACCGCGGTCCGTGTCGTGAATTTCTCTACGTACAACGTAGCCAAACACCGCATCTCCGAGTTTGTCGAGAGAATTACCGGCGAGTCTCCTCTGGCAACCTACAACACGCCAGGCAGCAGTCCCACTGTGTCCACTCTTTTGACCTTTACTACCGCGGGCTTCATTGCAGGCCTGATCACCTCTCCGCTTGCATGTGAGTTTCGTGATTGAATCCAACCACCACAATTGCTGATTCTGTAAGGTCCCTTTGAGCTGGCCAAGAATGTTGTACAGACATCCGTCTTGGTCTCTCATCGATCCCAGGCGTCTCCCGATGCGGTGCGGGACCCATCTCTGCGCAACAAACCACGCCTCGGCACAATCGAGGCGATCAGGCAGATTGTTCGCCGTTATGGATTTCGCGGCCTGTACACGGGTTTCCATCTCCATGCGATGCGCGATACAATTGGATCCGGTCTGTATTTTAGCGTCTATGAAACTGTCAAACAGGTCGCGGCAAAGGAACTGGGACCGGACAAGTCTCCTTTTGGAGGTCCGATGATTGCCGGTGCCATTTGTAGCACCGTGCCTTGGTTCTGTGTAAGGCACTTCTTCTCTAATGAAAACGGTCAATTGCTAACCTTTGCCAGACCTATCCGCTTGATACTCGCAAGACCCGTGCCCAGAGCGTGCTGCTTGGCAAGTCTAAGGAGGTGGGAGAGGCATCAGCGGCCGTCTCCAAGTCGAGTATGTACAAAGGTCTATCGATCATTCTTATTCGTACGGGAGTCAACAATATGATTCTCCTGAGTATGTTCGAATACATTAAGATGCGGATCAACCAGCTGGAGGGCTAGCGGAAACTGCATTGTTGATTTTTTTTTTTTTTTTTTTTTTGCAAACAACGGAGCTGGTCCTTGGCGCACTGGGATATGCATTGTATTTCTTGCATGGTTTGGGCTTATGTTTCGAGTACATAAATACATGAGCTAGAAGCTCCTAGCAAATATCAGGATGAATCAATGATGCCAAAATCTACCCCTTAAATATTAATGGATCGATGCCTCAGGCAGAAGGACGTCATCCGTTGCCAGGCCAAGGCAGGCGGGGTTGGGCGTCTCGCTGTCAACAAAAAGTTCCCAACGGCGACCACTTTGTCTGCGACGCTTCCCATGCCTCAACCACCACAATGACATCGTACGTGCTGTTGAAACCTTTTCAATGATGTGTTTACTGATGGTTTGCTTAGAAATATCCTTCAGGTTCCATTTCGGCGCTCCCATGCCGTTTCCTTGTCCGATGCGATCACCCAGTACATTTCGTCCAAATATGACCAGCGACCGGATATGTTCGCAGACGATCTCTTGATCATCGACCGTTTGCGAAATGAGGCGATCAATGTCCAGGAGCCCCATGTCAGCGGGATCAGTCGACTAGTCACGTATTCGGCGCAACTGAAATGGCTGGGTGGGAAGTTTCCGGTGGATGTGAGTGTACTGGAACAAGCTCTTTGCGCGTACAGCTTGCTGAATGAGTGCTATAGGTGGGGGTGGAATTTCCATGGTATCCTGCCTTTGGATTCAATACAACAAGACCTAGTATGTGATTACCGATATACCAAGGATGACTCCGGATGAGCACTGACAGTCGTCAAGTTTCACAGAATAACCTTCGCTTCGAATTGGCCAACATCCTTTTCAATCTTGCCGCGCTATACTCCCAGCTAGCCTTTTCGGTTAACCGGACGACTTCCGACGGACTCAAGCAGGCATGCAATTACTTTTGCCAGTCTGCCGGGGTTCTCCTGCACCTACGAGCCGATATCCTGCCCGACCTGCGAACGGCCCCGCCCGAGGATATGGATGAAATGACCCTGCAGAGTTTGGAGCAACTTCTCCTCGCCCAAGCACAGGAGTGCTTTTGGCAAAAGGCCGTCAAGGACGGTCTGAAGGATGCATCGATCGCCCGGCTGGCGGCCAAGGTTTCTGACTTTTACGCCGAGGCCGGCGACTACGCGGTCAAGTCCAACGCGATCAGTCCTGAGTGGATCCACCACATGACGGCCAAGCACCATCACTTTGCGGCCGCGGCGCAATACCGGCAGTCGCTGGATTGCCTGGAGAAGCGCAAGTACGGTGAGGAAGTGGCGCGGCTGCGGGATAGCGAAGCATGCGTCAACGAGGCGCTCAAGGAGTCTCGCTGGATAAACCGGGCCGTGCTAGGAGATCTCAATGGGCTGAAGAGCCGTGTGTCGGAGGACCTTAAGCGGGCGACCAAAGACAACGATGTCATCTATCTCAACCCTGTGCCGCCCAAGTCGGAGCTCAAGATCATCGACCGCGCGTGTATGGTTGCGGCCAAGGCGCCATCTCAGGTGACGGATGCGATATCCATGCTGGGGGAGAACGGGCCTCTGGGGCAGCCGCTGTTTGCCAACTTGGTGCCATATGCAGTCCATATTGCGGCCAGTATCTACTCGGACCGCCGCGACCGGCTGGTCAACGAGAGGATTATTGGGGAGTTGGAGACCATGACAGACAAACTACGGGAGTACGTATTGGCAATTACGCAACGCTTTAGTGGAATTATGCTGACTTTATTAGTTTGCTATCATCGCTGAACTTGCCAGGGTCATTGCAGGCGCTTGAAAAGCCGCTTGGACTGCCTCCGACGCTGGTGGCTCACGCTGAGGAGATGCGGCAGCAGGAGGGGCTGCACCGACTGCGGAGGTCGCTTGAAGATATAGCTAAGGTCAAGGCCAATGACAAGGCGGTCTACAATGAGGGGGTAGAGCTACTGGCGGCCGAAAAGGCGGAGGATGATGCGTCGCGGCGGAAATACGGAACTGATCGATGGACCCGGCAGACGTCCGAGGCGGCAGCGCCGAAACTTTACACGACGTCGAGCGAGATCAGCGGGTATTTTACATCGGCGCAAAGCAGCGACAATCTTGTGGAGCAGAAACTACGGGACTCGGAGGCGGTCTTTCGGGTGCTCACAGGCACCAACCGCGACCTGGAGATGTACGTTCCCAGCAGCCGACGGGCTGCAATCCCGCCTGAGGTGGAGCGGGAGTTGATCCGGCTGCGGGGATGCCTGAGCGAAGTGAGTCGGTTGGAGAGCCGAAGGAAGCGGCGAGCGCAGGCGTTGAAGGAGAAGGCCCGGGCGGATGATATCACGCAGGCGCTCTTGAAGGAGACTGCGCGGTTGGAGCGGGAGTTTCCCATGCAGCCGATCCAGGCAAGCCAATTTGAGGATCTGTTCGAGGAGCAGCTTCATTTGTACGACACGGACCTGGAGATGGTTGCGCAGGAGCAGCATGATCAGGACCAGATTGCGGCGCAGGTGCGTGAAGCCAACCGGGCGTTCACTCGGGCGCACAAGGGGGATGCATCGACCAAGGAGCGGGAGAAGGCGCTGCAGGAGCTGGAGAACGGGTTTTTGAAGTACAAGGAGATCATCTCGAACATTGAAGTGGGCCGGAAGTTCTACAACGATCTGGCCAAGATTGTGGGGAGGTTCCGGGATGACTGCAGGGCGTTTGTGCACCAGCGCCGCATGGAGGCGAGTCAACTAGAAAGGTATTTTTATTGTCACTTGTTTTAGGTGTGATACTGATGGATATAGTGATATTGCAAGTGCTGCAGCGATGGCTTCGTTGAATATCTCGCAACCTCACCTCCGGCAGCAGCCGCAGCCGCAGCCGCAGCCGCAGCCACCACAACTATCGTCACCTCCAGCACCTGTTCAGCCGCCCGTTCAGGTCCATCAACCATCACGACCACCGGAAGAACCGCTGACGGCGCCGCAACCGACTCGAGCGCCGGTGGCACCGCCCGCGGTCCCGACGCCTGGCATGTGGTCACCAGAGATGGGGATCCGGTTCGGGGGAGGGAACAGCCGAGGACAGCCGGGGCAATGGGATCCCAGCGATGGAATCAGATTCGGTTGATGTATGCATAGACAGATGTATCAGATGTATATACATGGAAATGATACCACTCGTATATAGCGAGCTAAGTCACCCGACGCATCACGGCGGCCGCCTCGGCAGCCAATTCCCTAGTCTTGATGTCCAGGTCTTCAGCCAGACTCAGAAACTGGAATCGATCAATCCACATCTGCCAGCGGCTTTTAGACACAGTGACCGCGGTCTCCCCCGCAGCACCAGCACCAGACTCCCGCTGCGGAGGCGAAAGGGATAATCCCACGGGAAACTCTTCAGTCTCATGCCTCCTTTCCCATAGCTCCTCCCCCATGATCAACGCCCAGATGGCCGCACAGGAGACGAAAACAGCCATCTTTTTCCGTTTTCCGGTCCCTGGAGGCGCACCCACACCAGTCCCTGTAATACCCTGCTGCCGCTGATGGCGGTGGTGATAATGGTGCTGCTCACCCCTCTCCAGCGCAACCCTCAGAATATGAATGCCCACATCTTCTAATCGGACGATCCGCTCCTTGGTGATGAATGCTAGGAAGGCGTGGAGGTTTTCCCATTGTTGTTTTTCATTCTCGCTTGGGGCGGAGGACTCGTTTTCATCCTCGTACTCTGATAGAATATCGGCGATGGCTGCTTTTAACTCGGATTGCTCTGCATCTGGGGACTGGTTCGTGAGAGGGAGAGACCGCAGGGAGTCAATGAGGGATTGTTGCTCTGGGGAAGGGAGGTCGGGTTTTGGTGTTGATGTTCGTGGGGTGTGTTTTGCGGTGGTGAGGAGGGAGGGCCATGATTCAGTTGGGCTGGACATTTCTGATGTTTACTGGTGTTCATTTCATGTTGGTTTTTTTTTTGTATCATATTGTCTTGGGTTGTTGAGGTTGATGTAGATAGATATCTGGTGGTGTGGTGTGGTGTGGTGTGGTGTGGTGTGGTAGTCGATGACGTATGACGGTTATCTTATCGATATGGGAATGGCTGGTTGATAAAATAATTGATATTGGGTATCATTCGTTATGCATCATATATACACCATTGTGTTTCACAATACCAGAGGTGCAACCAGGCAGCTGGCAACTACTCCTTCTCACCCACCTCGACATCCACCCCACCCAGGAAGAAATCTAGCTCGCTGGGGCCTCCTGCGGAATTCTGCTCGTTCTCCGCCAACTGCTCCAGCAGACTCAGGAAGGGATCTTTCTCGATGGACCCTGCCTCGCTGCTGCCGCCGCCGCCGGCGCCGGCAGTATGTGACGAACTGGCCTGGGACTGCGCGCCGGGTGTCATGATCGTTTGGCCGGTGTGGTTTTGATGGTTGTTGCTGCTGCTGCTGTCGAAGGGGAAGGTGGCGTACTGCGGGTGCGAGGGCGGAGTGGGCGCCACGTGCAGGGACTCTGTCAGGAAGGCGGGCGGCGAGAAGCCGAACATGGCTGACGGGGGTGGTGGGGAGAAGCTGTGGTTGTGATTGTGATTGTGGTTGTGGTTGTGGTGAAGATTGGAGTGGGGATGGTGATGACCGTTGCTGGCATCCGAGGCAGAAGGATGGGTCAAGTCGGTGTTGCCGAGCGTGAACGTAGATTGTAGCTGCGGCGAGGGCTGGGGATGCTGCGAGGATTGAAAGGTGAGCGATGGGGACGAGACGCCAGGCGGCTTGGTCGCCGTGCTGGTGGTGCTGTGCGAGCCGCGGCGCGGCGACGGGCTATGGTTCGATGGAAGGGTGACGGGCGCGCGGGGCGGTTGGTTATGGTAAATGGGATATGCGGTCATGGGTCGGTAGTATGGGTCCAACTGGGGGCTACAAGAGTCAGATCATACTGGCGTCAGAGCAAGGAGAGGGCAAACCTACGTATCATCCATATCCACCAGGCGCACGTGCGACCCGTCGGCCGTCAGCCCAGGATACCGATCCAAAAAGTCTTCCAGGTGGAAGACGGGCGAAAAGCGCATGGGACTCGTGGCCAAAGTGCGGACCAGCTCGGCGTGGCAGGTATAGATGGTCTGCAGCATCTCGCGCTGATGCTGGACACCAGCCCAGTAGGACCCCAGCCAGGTCAGCTGGTGCATCTCACGAGTAAGGAACTCGGCACTGGACGAAAACACCTCGCCCTCGCGGCCCTTGTAGTGCACGCCGTGCACGTGGACCGTTCCCGCCGTGCAGACGCAGTACCCCACAAAGGCGGGCCATTCGATCAGGGGGGAATTGCGGGCCAGCTCAACGAGCTCGGCGATGGCGTTGGAGTGCGAAAAGCACAAGTTCGTGGCCTCGATCTGCCAGGACTGGTGCTGGCCGGTGCCGCGCAGCTCCACCAGGTCGATCGGCAGGAACGGGCGGTAGATCAGACAGTGGACGAGATGATAGATCAGCTTGCTCAGCAGCAGGATGGAGCTCTCGGGATGGTCAAACAGGGCTTCCACCGAAGCAAAAACGTCCTGGGTACCGGTAGCCCAGATGTCCAGTTCCTGACGGATTTTGGACAGGTTGGACAGCGAGTGCCAGGGGAAGTGTGAATCGCCCTTGACGCCACCGGCGGCCAGGTAGCGGTTGGTGATCCCCAGAATGCGGGTGATGTCGATGAGCAAGGCGGTGGCCCCAGGTTTACGGCGCGGGTCGCTCGAGTACTGGATGTTGGGGCCGACGGTGTTGAAGAGCTCCCCTTCGACGTTGAGTCCGGCCGCATGCGGGGACCAAGCGGGAAGCCGCAGGACGATGGAGTGGTCGGCGATGAGGCCGGGCCGTTTCGAGCCGCAGGTGAGGAAGCGGTCCATGATGTAGACGGCCCAGAAGAGCCGGCGGCGCATCTCGCGTTCCGCCGCGGGTAGACTCTTCGCGGGCTCGCGGTAGAGGTCCAGAGCAATGGCCATGGAGGCACAGTTGGCTGTACAGTCAATCAACATGCTGTTCTTTCACGAGGCGATTGGTTGCATACTGAAAGTCATATAGGCCTTTTTGCCCAGACCATGGGCAAAGTATGTCTGCGAGAGTAGAAGCAGGGCCTGCAGCCCATCCATGGTCGGTTGATCGACATCCACCATGCGTCGGGCCTGCAGAGCATAATCCAGGGCCATCCGCAGGGACTGCTCGGGGGTGTTGGGCGAGCTCGTATATCTGCAATGGTCAGTACCGAACTAGATGCAGGGAACAACAAAACAAACCGCAAGGTAATGGCGTAGATGGCCATGGCCAACGCGGCAGGCAATTGCCCCATCTGATGACTCTGCCGAGTCACTGACTCGTCCAGGATGAAGTAGGGTTTGCCATGGATGCGGGCAAAGTACGCATCCAACATGGAATCCGGCAGGACAAAGTGATGCACGGGAGGCGACGGCTGCGAGGGAAAGGAGAAGGGTCGTGGAAACGGTTCGGATGGGGGCACGTTGGTAGTGGATGCGCTGGAGATGGATGCGCGGCCGAGAGAATGCATCGAGGCGGACGGATCAGGAGGTTCCTTGTCGGGCTCGACGGGGGAGGTGGGCGAGATGGGATTTTTGTTTTCATCCTGCAGACGTTTCTCGAGACCGTCGACACGCTTGAGCAGAGCTTCGAGGACGTCTGTTTTAGGGCCGCGCTTTTTGGGGACGGCATCTACGACGGTTAGTAGGGTACATGACAGGGACGGGAAGGTATGAGGCGAGATACCGTAGACGCATGGGCATTGAAAGACCTTGCATGCTTCACAGCTAGGACGCATACGATTGCATTTGATCTACAAATTAGAATTGACTCTTTTAGACAGGAGAGGACAACGCACCTTTCGCTTTCGACATGATTTGCAGTTCATGGACTCGCGCGGTTCGGCAGTGACTCGGCGCGGAGTGAGCCGGTCGATACTGACAGCGGGGCGAGAAATAACCGACGACATGATGATTTTTGAATGATAGATCGAATAGATACAGAAAAAAAGATTGGTCAAGACATTGGGAAGACTGAGACAGCAGAGAAGAAAGGGAAAAAGGAAGCGGAGGGAAGAGAGCGAGGAGTAAGAGAAGAAAGAGGAAAAAGGATGAGGATCAGTTAAATTAAAGTGGCCGACTCCAAAACGCACGATCAGGATCAGAATCAGGAAGGATTCAGTCCAAGGCTTCAAGACTTCGGTAGTTTAAAGCGAAAAGCAAAAACTAAGACAGGGATGAAGATCATAGACAAGTCTGCAGTAGTCGACTAGTGGTAGCAAGCAAGAAGAAGGAAGAAATACGAAGCATGAGAAGAGAACGGCCAGGGAGTGGGGAACCTGGAGATGGAGAGACGGAGGATTGTCTAGTGTCGGACCAGAGACGATTCCCGGTTAGATCCATGATTCAGCCAGAGACAGCTAAAGTAGTTCAGGACCACTTAGCTTGGGTCTTTAGCCTGGAGACGGAGATGATGATAATTATTCTGTGCCACCGGAGTGCGGGGAGTTTACAAGTCTCAAGAGTCTAGATACGCTCTACAGAGTACACACACACCACCCAAAGCAGAGACCGCAGAATCCGGGGAAGTCGATCATTTCTTCATCGGCTGTTCAATCTGACCTCGCTTCCACAGAATAGATTAATCGCTCTCTCTCCATCACGGACCGAAGTGCCGTCCTGTGGCCCACTGGCCTTTTACTCCATTCGAGACGGACCTCCAAGATCTAGTCCATATGCAGTCCGCAGTACGCAGGAGACAAGAGACACGAGGTCAGTATCTGCAGGTCATCATTCCCCTGACTCGATTCTTCAGCCATTTGACTAGCATCACTAGATAAACCATGTCCATAATGTCTTGACTCTCTCTGCATCACTTGTCACACAAGTCTCTTTTCTCTTTGCAGAAATGTCTCCGATCGACAAGGTACCATGCCGAATAGTCTTAGCTCTACTCCCGGTACTCCGTACTCTACATGTGAATACAATTAACTATGGCCAAGTCAGGGTCAGGGCTAAGATGCCTAAACGCGCAGCCAAAAATACCGGCCACTCTCCGAATACCGGTTGTTACCTTACCCATACCGGGGTCCCCACATTACTACTCCAGAGTCCATCCAGAGTCCATCCAGAGCCCAGCCAAGAGTCCAAGACAGCATCGCCACTACGATAGACTGTAGATAGATTGAAGATAGGTTGTAGATGCGACTCGTAGATTCAGATCCAACGAAGAATGTAATGCAATACATCTAATAAATCCTCCCCGAAGCCATCCGCACAAAATCAAACGGCACATTCTGTCCCACCAGCAGCCGCATCGTCTCCACCGTTGTCCACGCCGTCACCTCGTCGATCCCGTACGCCGTCCAGCCCGCACTCACCGCCACACCCACCGGATCTCCCTTGCGCTCCCCCGAACTCGCCGTCAGATCCAGGTACACTTTGCCCCGCGTCGATCGCGGTGACGTGCGCCCGTTGCTCCGGTAGTGTCGCAGCAGCGGCTGCACCAGCAGCGACTTCTCCGGCGGCAGCGCCGACACCATCACGAACGGCTGCTCTACCAGCTTTACTGACTGGATCGAGGTAAAGGGCTCCAGTCCCGCCGCTAGCGGACCTGTCGCGCGGAATCCCACTGTGTAGATCGATCCCACCCCGAGACTGCGTAGCGCATAGATCGCTGCGGATGCATCGCTCTCCGAGCCTGCCAGGATAATCGCCGCCCGGCCCCGATAGGCTGATGGCACGTAGTCGCGTGTCAGCGTCGCCCGGATCCCTTTCCATGTTGCGTTCTCTCCTATTAGCGTTCTCGTCCCCGATCCTGGTTGTGACTGCGGTCCCGACCCCGGCTGCGATTGCGACTGCGGTCCCGACTCCCCCACGACAATTGTATCCACCAAACCGATCGCCCGCGCGGCCTCGCTGACAGCGGGAATGTACGACGTCGCAGCCGAGATAGGCGGGTTGACCGAGGCGCCGCCGAAGCTGGGCTGCGTGATCACCCCTTCGATCGTCCCCTTGGGGCCGCGGTCGATGGACGTCAGCGTGTGCGGCAGACTCAGCTCATTAAAGCACTTCTCCATGAACATGGACTGCGGCGTCGCGCGGAACGACCCAATCACGTACAGATCGCGCTTCGGCAGGGCGCCCATGATGTGCATGGCCTCGTTGATCTCGGCCGCGGTCAGCTGGCCCGGCGCGGCGATCATCGGTAGCAGCGGATGCGTAATGGGCGAGAAGACCGTGTTGAGCGCGCGCGACAGCTGGCCCATCTGGCCCATGTTGACCGCCGACAGCAGCGGGACGGCCGCCCCGCGCGCCTTGACCGTCGACCGGAAGTACTCCAGCTCGTAGTTGGCCTCGATCGTGTGGACCATGGCGATCATCTTGACGATATCCGCGTACCGCGCGCTCTCCGCGAAGATGCGCGCCGCCTCGGGCGACGTCCACTTCCACGTGCCCGAGAAGTCATGGAACGCCGACATGATCACGCTGTGGCCCTTTTGCTCGGCCAGCCGCCGCCGGATCTCCTCGGGCAGCCACAGCTCCACGTCAATGTACTCGCACCCCCACTGGATCGCCCGCCGCAGGTACCGGTAGAACAGCATCGGATCGTCCATCGGGAACTTGCCGTTCTCCTTGGTGCAGCGCGTCGTGAAGATGATCGGCAGCTCCGTGTGCTGCCGCAGCAGCATCACCTGCTGGCCCACGTACCGCAGGCTCGGCACGGGGCTGGCGACCCCCTGCGGCGACGGCTCGACCAGCAGATCCACCCGGATCTCCACCGCGTCCGATCCGACAGACAGGATGTCCAGGTTCGGCAGCGCCGCATGCACATCGGGGAACGTCGTCGAGATGAAGTTGGTGCGGGTCTTGGCCTTGAGATCCTCATGCGGCCGCGTCTGGCCCAGGATCAAGGACAGAAAGCGCGTCAGATCACGCCGCAGAAACGGGCTGTGCGAGTACAGAAACTCATAGTCGCAGCGGTCGGTGAGCGGCTCGTCCGGCGACGAGCCGTCATCGACACAGTGCGTGTTGATCACGATCAAAGTAGACGGGTCGCATTCGTCGAGACTGCGCGCCAGCTCGGCGGCCAGGATCCCCACCACCACGGCATTACTGCCCTTCACCAGGGAGGACAGCGACGTTTCCGTGGTCCATGGTTTGCCCAGAACCTCGGCGACCAAGTGCACAATGGTGTCCTGGCCAGACCCGTACACTACCACCACCGTCCTCGGAGGATCCGCGGGGACAGACTGGGGAGCGGCAACGGCTGAATTGGCCGAGACAGGAGTCGACAATGGGGGATGAGCACCATTGACAGGCGACGGGGCGCTGGTGCTATTGTTGGTAACAGAAGGAGTGGTATCAGCAAGAATGGTCATCGCCATGGGCTGATGAATGGCTGTCTGCATCATCTCATTGCATGGGCAGAAAGACTGCTCAGTTCATAGTTGGTCCAAGTCCAATGAATAAACGACAGCAGTTGAAAGTCTCGGACAGATGATATGACGGTATCATTCATAAAATAAAGATAAGACTTGTAGCCCACTGTGATGCTGTTCTGCTGGCAATGGCACTCTGGGGTAAAACCCACACAAGAGGGAGTTTAGCCTTTAATGTTGATCACTGTCGATGTAGGTCGGCAGGTAGGGTAGGTTATTACCCGGAGAAACGAGGGCGAACGGGTATCAAATATATCAAATAGTCGAGCAAGATAAAAAAGGAGAAATGATAGAGAGAGGGATAGTGTAGTCTAGGACAGAAGGGAGAATAAGGATCGAACAGGACAGGATAGGATAGGATAGGATCTGAGCAGGATCCAGGTCAAGGTCAGGGTATCATCCACCAGTGCCAGGACGCTGGAAACCGACCGGCAACGCCGTAGTCGATGGTTGTATCGGACTGACGGTACGAAGATTACTACCCCTGATAGAAGCAGGCAAGATCCCGAGGAAGGAGACGAGTTAGAGACTCAACAATCTCACTAGTCATCGGAGAGTAACATTCTCCAAATGATTCTTCTTCTTCTTCTTCCTCTTCTTCTTCGTGTCCGTTATCCCATCGACGGCAAATGCAACGATGCATCTTTTGTCTCCGGCTGAATTTCCCCGGGTTTCCGCCTCCACTGCCGGACGCTATTTCTCCGCCAATAGAATCCCTTCTTACAGGGTACAATACGGTGTTCAATTATCAGCAGACTACTTTCCATCATAATAATAATATAATGATAGAGAAGAGGGAAAGAGGTAATGAAGGGATGGGATATTTGGCTAAATACGCATGATAGCCCTGGTCAGACAACCTCTACACAATAACCCTAATGCTCATCATGCAAGGCAGCAAGACCAGGCATATGGAACTAGGTAATCTGTATTCTGTAATCCTCAAGACCCGGTACACCAGCTCGTAGTATACTCCCCAGTGGGAAGTAGACTCCGTAGTAGAAAGATCTACCTGATGGAGTAGGGTTAGAAGGACAATCATCCAAAACCTCCGATGATACGAGGAAAAAGAATGCTCATGGCGTTACGGAGCACAACCGCCCCCCTCTGACTGGCCCTGGTGCTCCTGGGGCAACCCACCCGCCTCAGATCTATGGACTACTTGAGATGTTACCTTAGGATAGCTCCATAGTCATGGTACAACGGTCCCAAGTCAGCCCTCTCACCTTCTCAGGGGGCTTCCCGGCTATTGACCAGTCGTGTCTGCCGTATTGCAGCTCCCGTCAGTCGTAGGTCGAGTCTACATCTTCTGAGCTTCCGACTTGGCAAGCTAAAACATGGCGAAGGAAGAGTTGCAGCAGAGGACTGTACATCTGCAAAAGTAGCCAGTCTGACAGTCCAGACAGCTAAAGCCGGTCTGTAAGCCTGGCCTGGCATTTGTGGAAGAATCTGCACTTGAGACATGCTTATCTGAAGGATGATCCGCCGCGGCTTCCCAATGGCCCAGTCACTATCGCTGCCGTCGATGTCATCGCTGACCCTGTCGTCCTGCGCGATTGCATATCCTCGGTGAAGAATATATACTCCGTAGTCCCTGTCATCTGACGAAATCCTGCCCGGCCACTGAATAGCCAGTCTGCTACAGATAAACCCAACTACTCATGCAATCCCGTACCCTCATTCATTCCAGGCCCACAAAACGCAGGCCACATTCCATTGACATGTTCACAGATGCAACAAGACGACTCTTCCAAAATAAGGCAACATCTCTAGAAATAAAGTAAACCAAAAACAGCCGGAGAAATACCGGCCAGTCATTCGGGGTATTAGAGAACAAAAACAGGAATCAAATGCCAAATCCAAATCCAGTCAAGCAGAAGACCAAGCAATCATATCCGCTGTCTCAATGTAAAAAAGTAAGAGAAGATCGGTATGTGTACAAATATGCTGGCGTCGATCTATGTATCGTACCTCCATGACCTCGAAAAAGTCAGGTTTCATGTCAGGCCATCCCGTCGTCAGTAGTGACATGTGCTGCGCTCAAATCAATGCGTGCGACTCATCCACATTCCCTCTGCAGAGGAGCAGATCCGGAAATACTCTTCAGCATGGAGAATGGCCTGCTTCGGACGTGCTCCCGTGGCGCGGACCTTCCCGTGCCCATGCAAAGTAACATTGCCAGTCCGTACACTGCTCGTTGCGGTCCGGTCCCCCACCGCAGCTTTTCGAGCGCAGGCAGGAATATCGTCCTCTGGACGGTGGATACGCCAAATCGTAATCGTCCCAAGTCTCAGGGTGCGAGTGACCTGACGATGCTCTATCTGTGACAAAAGTGAAACAAACACGGTAACTGACCCCAGTGTTGAGAGATGACACGCGCATGCCACGTGGACAGCGTCATATCCAATCGTGTTCTAGGGCATTTCAACCCCCTTCAACATCGAATCTCTCCCTCTTAAGGAGGAGAGATAGCAAGCCCGTTCATAAGGTTAGGAAGCGGCTTCCGGCGAGCATTGTTGGCCGTCTTTGAGACCCGCGGCGCTCCATTGATCATGCGCGGTTCCTTCATCAGGCTGGTGTCGAGCTTGGCCGGGGCTATGACGGATTAGCATCCTTCTACAGGCAGGCTAACAAGTTTGCAGATCGTCAACGCACCTCTAGTGACAATGCGGGTATAATCCCCAGAAAGAGTCTGCTGGCCCCTGCTGCTCGGTGGAAACGAGGTCGCACTGGCTGTTCGCCAGAGATGGTTCGAGGTATCGGAGAGGAAATCGGTCATGGTACGGCTAGAGAACAGTGAAGAACGGCCCCGGTTCCGTTTCGACAGAACAATCTCATCGAACAAGGCCAGTCGGGGGTCCTTCGACTTGGGATTCACCCTTTCTCTTTCCCCAATGAACTCGTTAAACCCTGATGAGGTCAGCATACGCCCCATGTGTTCACGTTTCCCGCGCTTACCTTGTGTGTGCTGCAGGACCGCAATGTACTCCGCATGCTCGCTAGGCAGGCTTTTCAAGAAGGCTTCCATATTAAAGCTGTACGTCAGACCCGCCTTTTTCTTGTCGCCGGTGGCCGGTTGAAGGAACTTCTTGTAAGTGTAAAACAGGCTGGCGAAACATCTGACAAAGGCGGCCCGAACCTGCTCCGGGTGGAACGCTGCAGGACACACCAGACAGATCTGGAGAGCGCACCGGTTATGCACTAGGGTCTTGCAGGCACTGCACCGGTACATGCCGTCCTCCGCTCGCTCATCGCACACGGCACAGACGGCCTTGTCATCGGCCGGGACCATCTGGAGGCAGTGGCCCTCAACCCAGCACGTGCCTTCGGCATTTTGGATGGGCTGCGAGACAGACTGCGGCACAATCGTCGAGGCTGCCACCGTGGACTGAGCATAGACGGACGGTGCATAGGTGGAGCCCGAGTTGTAATCCGTGTTCAACGTTGTGACCGATAGGTTAGGCGCATGGCCAAGGAAAGGAGCACTCGGCCGTCTCGGAACACCAGGTCTCATCTCCATCCCAAAGGACGAGCTTCGCCGGGATGCGGCGTCAAAATGACCCGACCGTTTCTCCCGCAGCGAAGCCTGCAGAGCCATACCTGAATCGTTCCGGGAGCTGGGCGGGAAGTGGCCCGAGGTCGGTGAGTTGTCCCTCGGGGAAGGTGGTGACCCGGTCTTGGACGTGGACCCGGTGCTCGGTCGGTCGGAGCCTTTGGATGAGAAGCCCCTGGACGCAGCTTGCTCGTTACGTGCATACAGATAAGCGTTGAAGATGAGTGGTTGGAACGTAGTCGGCAGCACAGGCTGTTGGCCAAACGCACTCGAATTGAGACTGACATACTTGGCCAGTTGCGTGGACTGCGCCCGGGCGTTGAAGATGGACGGATTTTCCGACATGAAGGCATCAAAGGGGAACGTCTCGATTGCGTAAGCTGGAGGGCCAGTGGGGACCGCGCACCGACTGTGGTGGGGCGCGGCAAGCTGGAGCAGCGACAGCAGCTTCCGGCGCTGATGACGCGGCAGAGGCGTTGGCTGCACCGTGCTCTCAATCACGTCGGCATCCAGATCCACCAGGACAAAGTCATCGGACGGCAATTCGACCTTCTCATATCGACGTTCGATACCCACAATGTACGGGCAGGGGGCCTCTAGGGCCTGGATCAACCGTGCTGGGAGCACCGGAATCAGCACGCCGGTCCACTGGAGCGGGAATAGCAGGTCGACCAGGGCTCTGGTGGCCAGGTAGAGCATCGACGTGTGGGACGAGAGAAAGATGATGCGAGACTCGGTAAGAGCGTACTCGAACAGGATGATGATGTTCGACAGGGACAGCGTCCGGAACAACGCATAGAGATCCGTGTTTCTGGAACCGGGCAGCTCATTGACTGCCTCCTTCCGTGCGAAGAGGCGCAGCTCCCGGACAGCCAGCTCGACCTGCGTCTTGGACGAGTTGGGACTGAATGCCTCGGTGCACAGATTCATCACGTATCGCTCCAATGGTTGCCAGACACCCATGCGCGGTGAGCTGGGAGGGACTCGCTGAACGCCGCCGTCGGTCATGGGCACAATGATGGCCTTCAACCACTCCTTCCAGAAACTAGTCATGTTCTCCTCACGCCCCAAAATACCATATGCGCGGGGGATCCAGAAACCGGTTTCTCCGTCGGTCAACCCTTCGATCTTTGACGCCGCCCCGTGACGCACCGGCCGCAGCAGATCGGTCATCAGTCCAATCTTCTCCTCCACAGCGCTGATCTCATCCTCCAACTGTTCTCTCGACTCCGACCCGGACGCTACGGTGGGAAGCTGTGCCAGGAGTCTTGACAGCTTGGCCCGCTCGGAGGCCAGCCGTTCCCCGAGACTGGCCGCCAGCTCTCGCTCCTCGTCCGTCATGTTCTCTTTCCTCCACTCTTCACAGCGCTTCTCCAACTCTTCAGCCGCTCGTTGGTTCAGAGGGATCCAAATGATTACGCAAATTGCATGCAGTCGCGACCCGTTGTCAGTCGTCATAGTAAACCCATGCCACGTGGATCGAGGCCGCTGGTCGGAAGACACGATATTGATATCATTGGGAAACGCAAACATCGGCACGTAATCCGGGAAGTTTCCGCGCTGCTTCAGCTCCTCCGTCATACCTTTTGTCGGGTATCGATCGAGAAGAACGGGCTCGAATCTCCGTTTCAAGGGGTGCATGGTGGGGGAGAATTCTAGGGGTTGCGGAGCGGGGATGACAGAGTTGTAATTGCTGAGACGCCGTGAAGTGCGAATAGAAGCTGTCAGGGAAAGAACGGAGGTTAGTTTATTGTCGACACAGATGGGCGGAGTATGGCAAATGACGCCGAATATGTACTTACCCTGGCGGGCAACTGAAGGCTGCCGCTTCATACTGTTCATATCCCGAAAGGCCATATGTCGTCGTACGCTACCGATTCCAGATCGTAGTAGGCTCGACGGCTGTGACGGAGTCTCCTCCGAGGTGATCTTCTGAGTGCGCAACCGAGACCGGGGGCGTGAAGCGGGCGTGATGGCCCCGGCACTGAGGCTCAGGTCGGATAGGAACGAGTCTCTCTCGGAAGCAAACTTGAACAGCGCCTTGTCGAAGTCAAAGTCCTCCAGAAATGACGAGCCCCGGGGGGATTGCGCACCCTTGATCGTCAAGCTGCTCCGATTGCTGTTGGAGCCGTTCACGTTTCCCTCGCCGGAGTTTTCCGAGCGCATCGAGAATCGCTGAAATGAGTTCCGGCCGGGCAAAGTCGAACTGGGTCTCGAGAGCCCGTCGAGACGGGGGTCGTGCGCCTCCTCAGCGTCCGCATCCTCCTCAATGGTATCTGTGAGAGCGGGACCGGGAGAAGTGGCGCTGTTTGCCCTATATTCATCGCCCAACCTTCGAAAGGTCTCTAGTACCTCTGTGCCATCCACGCCAGCTATCCAAAAGTAGTCCGCGAGAGGCGTGGTTGACACCTCTGGGGTGGAAGAGTAAGGCATTCTTTTTTTGGGGGGTCGGATGAGGGGGTGTGATGTGCTGCTAGCAGGTGGATGATCGTTCAATTCGTCACAAAATCTACCGTGTATTTTATCGTCATCACATGAAGCCAAAAATAAAACCGAAAAAGCAAGTGTCAATCAACTGTGACCTTGAGCGCGAAACCAGCGCCAATGGGGGAGGGTGGCTTCAACGATCAGGAGCTTCGGGATCAATAGGGAGAGAATCGCGGTGGAGACGAGGACGCATAAGTAGAGGAGAAATGCGACAATGGTCGCGGGATAGGCTGGACAACCTTGCTGGAAGGATGAGCCGTCCAGGTATATGAGATTGGAACAGAATAAGCAAAAGAAAGATGAGATGAGTGTGTGGAGAGAAAAGCAGTTGAGTTTGAAGAGGGGAAAGGGGGAAAAATTGGGAATGCGTGGAGAAATTGATCTACTCCTGCTGCATGCAAGCAAGCAAAGCACTAGAGGGGGAGGGGGGTGGAAAAGGAGTAGTAGTATCTAGCAATAATATCTAGCAGTGAAGGACAGATAAATTAATATCTATCTACCAAATAATAATAAAAAGGGGAGAACAACGGAAGAATAGTAGTGAACAACTACTAAGAAAGAAGCTCACCACCTCTCCTGACGTTCTTTCTTCTCTTTCCTTTTCTTTGCGAGATTCTCTCAATCGCTTTCCATCGTAGACTGATACTAAGATACCGTCCTTCTACGACTCCATCTCGGCCGTATCCTGCCCCTCTACTAGCTCTACGTACCCGTTTCTTCCTCGTTCTTTGCTCTCTCCAGCCTACGGTCTCCGTTTTCTTTGGTTCAATCACTCCAGTGGTTCCAGTCTACTCTCCGCTCCGCTGTGCACACGCACACCAGGCGAACAGCACCGTCCATGCACTCGAGTCTAGTCCAACACTAGGATGACGGGTATACCCACTTCTACCTGCGCAACTGGTGGCTGATTGTGATATTTTACTTTTCCTTTCTGTTATCTGCGAGGGACATGGTATTATGAGGTAATCGACGATCAAAGAATTGCTATCAGCCGAAACTAGCGACGGAGAATCTCGAAAGACGACGTCCATTGGAAAGGCAGGAAATTTTTACTTCCATGGAAAAAGGAACAGAACAGAAAAAGAAAAGAAAGAGGCAGGGCATAAAGGAACGGGAATTAACGTGCAGACGAAACCGTGATGCCTCGTTGGGGCCATTGAATTTCGACCGCACCAATGCAGGAGAGACAGCGATAATCTCGAAGGATCCAGGGCGCTGTACCGAACTCCTGCAGGCTGCAGGTTGACTTGGGTAAATTCAAGGAGGTAATTATTTGTGTTCAATTATTTTCGTCACGCTAAAAAGTTCTGGTGACACATTCACGTACTTTAATCCAGCCTCTCCACCGACAATTTCAGCCACGAGTATGACATGACAGACCGTCCTTCATCCTCTTCGACCGGACGGAGAGCGTCTCTCAAATCTATATAGAGTATCTACTGTACCGAGTACCTAGTTACCGACACTCACAGCGATCAGCATTAGGAACAACCTACCGGGGGTTTCAATGTTCGGATCCAGTGGGGGCAAACCCGGTGGATTTCAAGTGAGCGACCCCTGCCTATCAAAATTCTAAAACAATACCTCTAGTCCCCTGGGACTTGAACGGCTGGAGAGAAGCACTACTGTCCGGTCTGGAAATGATCATCATCGGATGTAACCTTTTCGGTGGTGGTGACCGGTGGACTGGCAACTAACTCCCTTGCTCGATATCAGCATTTGGCTGTCAACCTCCCCGCCATCAGGAATCTTCCAGTCGTCCAGTACGGTCAGTACCTCCCTCAGCTTCGGCAACGGCTCGGGCGTTTAGAGTCTCGAACTGTTTAGAATCCGGGATTTTCAGCTGTCGTACGTCCGGGTGTCTAGATAGAACAGTCTGGCCTTTGATGATATGCTGGATGATTGGATAGGAGAATCCTCCCGATCAGCTCAACAACACAATCGAAGCAAATGGCACATGGTGGATATCTCGAGGTTACTGTTTCCCCGACTTTGAAGAAGATAATCCCTCGCATAGTAAATGCTCCAAGTTCAAGATGTAAGTAGATCTTATGGTGTGTCAAGTCACGATCCAACGTAGGAAATGTGGTGTTTCCTGCCGAGGCTGCAACATTTTTTGTGGAGTGAAGGTACTAGTAATAACTATTCATAATGCTGAGTGCATAACATTTCAGCCCTCAAACCGTCAAGCATTGTTTCGTTCGTATCTCCGTAACCAGCCCCGGCAACAGTTCTTGATGCTCGTCGCATCCCCAAATCCAGATAATTCCGGGGCTGGTCTCTTCACCCCGGCCCCAGCCATGGAGGACCGTTGTCTTGACGCAGGGGGTGTAAGGGAGGAGGAGTAGGGATTTCTGCAGCTAACCAGCCTCGTCTACCTTACTAAGGTACCGAACTGACTGCTTATGACTTACAGTACTCAATACTTTGTCCATCATCCGTGAGTTTTGATGCTGTTCGTTGCCGGGGTTGGCACTTGGCGGTTCTGTTTCACATTTTCAGTCGGGAACCCATAACCAAGGATCGTCTCATGGTGCTAAGTACCGAACTCCTCATTATTGTTCTCGAGTTCAACCGTATCGGCTCTACGTTTGATCGCCAGTATACAATGCATCGTGATTGGCATCGTGCTACGGTGACTCCGTCTCAGATGTTCTCGAAACATGATCTCAGAACTACCCATGATTGTTTCATCCATTCCCGTTGGGCGCCTTGTCACTCGCTCTCCTTGACTCCTTCTGCATGTCTCGAATCCCGAGCCCTGACGGTGACAGCCTTAAGAACGCCACGGTACTCCACCTTGCAGATGCCACATCCTTTAGGCCAACCCTATCAAGGATCAACCCTGTATCAATAGAGTACGCGTTGTAAGGATTCATGACCCGTTCATATCAGATTCATTCCATAGAGAACGTTAAGCATCTCTGGATATAATAAACCATCAAATACTCTCTCCTCTCCATCAACTCCAGTTGCGTGAAGCTTCAGTGCTCACCAAGAGCCTGCCACGATCGAAAAGCCTCAGGGAAATTCGGCTGTCGTCGACCATCTTCCCTTTCATATTCATACTCGCATTCGGCACTCTGTCCTAACAATTCCTCACCTTCCCTCACATCAAGAATCGGGACCATAGATGGCCGTCCATGAGCGCACTGAAAAGGCAGCACGCATCGCGCCAGTCGACCTATAAGACTTTTGCACTCCTCGGCCGTCAGCATATCATTGAACATGATAGCTGTTCTGCATGCCCGAGAGTTCAGTAAGTCAATTATCCCCTGAGGGCAACTCTTCAATCGTTCCACCCAGTTGTCCTCAGTCTCAACCCCCAACTCGTCCCGATGTATCTTGGATCTCTGGGTTCGTTGATCACTGAGAGCCAAAGCTCCCCGTCCGTTCTCTTCATGTTTCCATATCTCGCCGCGGATCAAGCCGCTGACCAGGTCGGGTTCTAATCGACACCGCTCAGCAATCAGTGTTGGAAGTGAATGCACTACAACGAGGGCAGCTCTAGCTGATGATTTCCGCTTAACAGTGTACCCAACACCCCAAGATGCAAAAAAGTCGGCATGCTTTCCAAAAAGAGTGGCTTCCATTAGCGGGATATCAAAAGTAATAGGATCAATCCTGATGGTTTGAACTTGACGATAACCGTTAGCGAACATTTCTCCAAAAAGGCTCTCAATTCGACATCGTTCGTCCGCAGCATGTTGATCGATTAAGACCAGGACCGACTGTGAGCTATGGCCATCAGCAAGCTTTGCGAGGATAAACTTTCGATCCACCTGTGCAATGATGTTGGCCGTCGCCAGGTGACTCTTGCTTAATCGGCCTCGGAATTTCGCCAATCCAAAATCTTCCAATCCGCAAGACTCTGCCGAGCCGTCCAAAGGCTGAATGAGGCCCTTATCACTCGTATTTCCGTGCCTTTCACCGTCGCCAATCGCGGTTATTGGTCTTTCCGGTCGACTGAAAGCAGGGTTTTCCCATCGTCTCAGGAGGTTCTCAACCCAGATATTATGACTTGTGCTCGAGATTGCCGAGCTTGGCCTTGACCTATCGACCGCTCGCAGTGTCTGAATTGTTCCGGCAGACAGGGGGCGTTCGTCGACATTAAATTCAGTAGATGGTGATCTAACGTTGATTGCTTGGCCCGTTCTTGCATTGATCAAATGAGTACGTCCGGTATGGGGGTCAGTCCACGGTATCGACGCATCAACATCCGACCCATCGTTTCCAGTAATCTCCAGATAGTTACCGGCCGATGAATTATCTGTCTCTAGACAAATTGACAACGATCCTCTATCATGGTACTCCGAAGCAGGCCTTGAATCTGTTTTCTTCCACCCATCGGCCAATTCATGCTTACCAGCAGGCGGCTCTCTCGCACATTTGACCCTAGACCAAGTCGCAAAATCTGAAGTAGTGTTCGTTGACGACGGCCTTCGAAAGGTCGGCAGCTTCAACTGGCCTGCCAAGGCTTCTTCAGCAATGGAAGATCTGTCGTGTGAAGATACCGATTTCGCAAGGTTGGATCTGCCGGCCCCTGGCGACTCAACGCTCGCGAACCTAGACGCACCTTTCGTTTGCCGCCCTGCACGCGGTCGTAGGCCATGTTGTTTCAAGAACTCGCTTATCGCGGCCGCAAGCACATCAATAAGACGCTGGACGGACTGGTTTGACTCCGGTACCACCTCATGGTCTTCCTCATAGAGTTCTCTAGGATCATCGACGTCTATGCGAATGTAGAACATCGGCCATTTGTTCACTGCCTTGCCTGTAAACCTAGGACCTGGGTTTCCGTCGCTGCTTACAGGGGCCGCTTCAACCGCACCAAAATCGGACAAAGCAAACAAGCGGTTGATTTCACTATAGAGCAGGTCCGTGCTGTTGCGCGGGTAGACGGGATCAATCCCAATGGAGATAAACTGAACCTTCCTCGTGGGGCACGGCACAAGGGATACAGCGGCGCGCATCGAAATCCCATGGACGCATGCTGACACTGAGTTCCAGCTACCAGAGTTTTGCAATTCAATCAGACCAGCCTGAGTAAGTATAGAAGCGATGCGTTTGATATCCAAGTCTCCCCTTACTTCTTGACCTCCAGCGTGCGAGCGAATCATGAGCTTCCTCTCTTTCCCAGCGGTAGAGACCACCAGTTTACTGATGTGGTCATTTGCCAACATCAAAGAAACGAGTAGTCGCCGGAGATTATCCCACTGCCGCTCGAATTCATCGGGTTTCTGAAGGGCCAGGGCCCGACTTTTCACGCGTACGGGCATATTGCCAAACAAGTCATTGACAGTGACGCGCGTCCCACGACCGCTGGAACTCAACTGATACGATGATGGTGCTGGAATCAAGCGTGCGATCGGAGTCGAATGATGGAAAATGACACTGTTGGTGCTGTCGTGGTGGAAATGATGTGAGGTCACCGTCAACAGTGACAGAGAAGCCAGAGAAGCGAGGAATAGCCCTCTACGACCGTAGACAGCTCTTGCTGAATTTAATTTCGAGGTATCTGCATGTGAGGTGAGCGAGAAGACGGCTAAACAGTACGAGGCCCACGTACGATGTGCTTTCCCTAGTCCCCCGTCCGTCTCGAATTCGGCCGGGGGTATCCCATCACCGTCGTCCTCAACAACACATCCCCCGCGGTGAAAATCAACCGTTACGGAGACCGTATGTGCATTTGCATCCAGGGCATTCTTGACGAGTTCCACAACCACTCTGTTTAGATCGGTTATGGAAGTTGAAGATTTAATCTTCGCCACAACTTCCGGGGGGAGTGGCTCTATTCTGCTGTCCTCTGAAGACATGACAGAAGCAGGTGAGAATTCGACTGATGTTTTCATGCGAAACAAAACTGTTTTCACATGATTATAGCATTGTAGGCCCTTGGCCAATCTTTAAAAGTAGTTGCCACCAGAGTGGCATATGAAACACCGTTACTATGATGTAGCATCGGATCTAAAGTAAGACAGCGACAGCACTAGAGATTCAGCTTCATAAATCAGGAGCGACAGACCAGTGCCGCTTCCACGCTTGTTGTCTAAGTATGGAAGAGTTGTTAGGAGGGAAACAACTGCTGCAGTTGATAATATGTGCCACGTGACAGATTACGTGTTACCTGCACCTATTCATCTCCTCATCCAAGCACCACGGAAGGGATAAGAGGTAAACGAGCACAAATAGGTCCGTCTTTCTCTTTCGCAGGCGGTTTATACGAACGTCGTTAAATCATAATAGCAAGAGCAATTGTCCTTAGATTCTGCATCGTACACCCTAGGGACAGCCGCCGAGGATGGCGACTCTCATCCACAGGCTTGGCGGGGATTGTATGGTCTAGGCTGTAGAGGTTTTTGCCACGCTGTTTTGGACTGAATATGGATTTGCAGAGGCGTCGAATAAGACTGAGAGTCGAATAAGACTGAGAAACCAAGTGATGGCGTTCATGGCGAATTATGTTGGGAATGAATACCTATGAGGGAGGAGAATAGGAGCAGCTGCGGTGGACGCGTGATAAACACAGATCCGCTGGTCATCACAACCGGGGCCAGGACGGAGCCGAATTCTGTTATTAGCAGTCGCTCAATCCCATTATCGTGTTATATATTATATATATATGCTAGTACCCATCATCAGCTCCACAGAATTACTACTAAGTATATACAGTCATCTCACGTCAGACTCCTGATTCGACCCTCATCTCTCCCATGGGACTTCCACCCCCAGGTCGGCTGCCACTCGCATCGCTGAGACAATACAACCCTCCAAGAGCACCATTCCATCCCAGCACCATCCTCCCGCTAGATACACGCCGTTATCGCCACTGCGCCAGTTGATCGCCTTAGAATCAGCGCGTCTGCCCTCTTTGCCAAAAACGCGATTGATCAGCCGCCGGCTCTGCGGACTTCGCAGCACGCGCGTAAATGACGCTGATTGAATGACTTTGGTCTCATCGATAGGCGTTAGCGGGTTTGTCGTAACAAGGACCGAGTTTGGCTGCACGTGAACTGATTCCGTGGTCGACGCGTTGGAGCGCAGGTAAATGTGCTGGGGGGTGCCGGCTTTGCTAGAAACCCTGACTCCTGGCTTGACACCCGTTCCCACCTGCGGGAGATTGGCAAAATCCGTATGAGCCACCGTATTCACCGCGGTCGTGGGAACGTCGCTCAGAGCCGATGACAAGGGCTCGAAGATGTGCGCCACGACGTCCGGGGACACAGCCAGAACAACCAGGTCGAACAATTCGGTAATTTCCTGAGCCTCGCTATCCGCTTTGCAGTAGGTGAGTTCAACTCCGTTCGGAGTCGGCGTGACTTTGGTCGACTGGACACCAAGCCGCACGTCTAGCCCACGCAGGAGCGTCTCCTGGACAGTATGGACCCCATCTGTCACAACATAGTGCGGTCGGCGATGCGTGAGCTTCTTGTATTCGAGCACATCCACTGCAGGGAACCTGAGCAGCTCCTCGTGCGAGCACGTACAGACGCTCGAAATCAGCGGCAAAAGGTAATTGGCGTTGTAGTACTGCGGCATATGGATGCGGCGAAGATAGTGGTCGATTGATTCATCCTCCATCGGAGTGACAAGAAAGCAACACACGATGAACCACAAATAGCACACCAGTGCAAAAACAGCTTCGGTAAGCCACTGGAAAACGTCTCCCTTCTGAGGGAGTAACGGGGACAGCTGGTGGAAGTTGGAAGTATGCACCATATACGGCTCTTCCTCCTCCTGCTGCCGTCGCGAAGACAGCCGAGAGAAGCTAAACACAAACGGTTGCGAGTGATATCGGACTCCCAGATAGTCATACATGCGAATGAGGTTGCGATAGAAGCCGCCGGCAAAGGCGCGCATGGGCACGTCGGCCCACACTGATTTGCTAACCCCTGGCTCCGAGCAGGGGATTGGTATCGACTCCGCACTCAGAGAAATTCGGTCTTTCTATTCATCATCAGTGACAGATGATTTTGTCTAGTGAACATCAGTAATATCTACCTTGTCAATTAGTCGGACTCGGAACCGTTGCTGTGGATCATGGTGTAGCAGGTAGGCGGCCGTCAAACCCGCCATTCCTGTGCCCACCACCGCGACATGTCGACGATGATGCTCCTTCATGGTAACACTTATTCAATCAAAAGTACCTTAAGGGAATTATAGAGGTCGCAACTCTTGAATGAAAGGACGGAAAATAAGAACTGACGTCGGGAAGAAGGCGTTTATTTTTTTTCTGGTGATAGAGACCCGCATCGTTCTTGGCTGAGGAATGAATCCATCAATCAATCATCACGAATTAACGATAATATAATCACCCCCGGCAAGGGACTCTTCATAGTAGAAAGCATGTGCTGTTCCAGCCTCTAGACTAGCTTGTAATAAACTGGCTTCGACCCTTAACTCACATTGGTGCCGTCTCCGGCGCAATTTCAGCCACTGAGCTTGCATTGGTGACCTTCAAGCTTCAGGGGTTGGTCGAACATTGCCATTGTTCAGAGTGATCGTCGGCTGACTTCTTGAAGCTTACTTCCAGCGCCACGCCGTCATACTTCCAACATTTCTCCTGGGTTTGCTGGTATTTCTACATTTATGACTGTGACCATCATTCGCAAGTTAAGAATCGATGTTGGTATACACATTAAGCAATACGCATTAACCACTACGTACTAAGTTTAAACTGCAGGTATACATACGCAGTCTTAATTGTCAACTAGCAAGAAATAATAAAGTTAACCATGCTAAACAATGCCAGCGGGATATCAATAGTCTCCATGCATCCAACAATCAAGGTATACCTAGATACAATAACCAGTAAGAAACCCAAACGCCCCGGTTAAGGAAAGTCGACGCCGATCCCAAGCAAACAGACCTCCATCCTTCCTTCGCAACCCGGAAAAAAGGGTAAAAGCAGGAAATCATTGATAATATTCTAACCCACTCTGTCATGCAGATATTTTGCGTAACTTCGTTGCGTAGCTCACGGCAGACTCTCCTGCGTTTAAAGTGTTATCATGTTCGGCGTCATTAACTCTGTGTCGTCGCAGTCGTTGTCGTCTCAGTCGTCCCTTAAGGCACTTCATCAAAGGAGTCCTCCTCCTTCAATTCTGCTGGCCGCTCTTCCTTGTCCTCTTTCTCCTGGTCGCCTTCATCGCCAGTTATCTCACCCCATCCTGAGCTTCGACGACTGACCCTCCCCGTCATGGGCTGATTGACGGACCCGCTGGCGATCGCGACACCCATTCCGCCTGAGATGCTCGCCGCATAGCTGTCGTTGCGACTGTGCGAATACGCTGCGCTCTTGACACTTGCACCATCTCCCGTGCCTGGGTTCGGTTTGTTATGGTAGCTCCCTCGCTCGCCGCTCGTGATCGCTCCAGACGCTGAGTATACACTAATCCGCTCCGCGCTAGCAAGACCCACCATGCTGGGACGATTGAGCACTCCGGGTGTATTGAACGTGGACGTGTTGGATGGCTCTCCAACATTTGCACTGAGCACGCTCAGTGGCAGACTCTCGCGACTCCCACCAAATACGGAGGACGGCGCAAGAGCGCGGACCGATGCGTTCGTATCCAGCGAGTTCCTGCGGCGCCGTTTTGAAGACGAAGCCAGAGTGAGGATGGATGCATTGTCAGTAAGAATATTGTTGGCAGTTGCAGTGCTGTATGTATGGGAGTGGCCGTGAGGGACAAGGTGGGGTGGCACCGCGGTCGCGGGGGAGGAAGGAAATGGCTGGGAAAATTGTACTTGTTGATTCGCGGTGCTGTGCGTCGAGTTCGCATGCGCTAAACCCTGATGTGTACTTTGCACGTTGTAGAAGTGGATGGACGGCGCGGTGGATTGCACGGTAGTTAGGGTAGTTGTCAACGAACGAACCGACGGCGCGGGCGAAGAGAAGGTACTTCCTTCGCCTCCGCCCTGAGAGCTGATCCCTCCTCCTGCTGTCGCCATCGTTCCTGCCTTGGAGTATGCTGCCTCTGAAATGGCGGTGTCCCCATTCGTTGAGATGGTCGGAGCCGTTGACTTTGCACTTGCCGCAGGCACCTGATTGTCGTATCCGGAACAGGCAATGGAAGGTTCACTATATGAGCATGATCGTGGCCTATTCGCAGCATTTGTATCTGAGACCGAAGACACAAAATCACTGCTGTATTCCCGGACAGCGTTCGTGGTACCGGAGAGGGGGTAAGGGTTGTTCTTATTGTTTCTCTTGTTCTTGTGAGCGTCATGACGTTTATGGGACCAGCGAATTGTGCCGGAATCGGTCGAGGAGCCCTTCAGACTAGTGAGTCTCTTCATCCAGCTAGAAAATGGGTGGCGACGTCCACTGCGAACTATCATCTGTCAATTTGGGTTTGTCTCATGAGGGGCAGAATGCTTGCGAAGACGAACCATGAGTCCGCGCAGGGACATCAGCTGTGGCCATTTTGGCCGAGTAACGATCTGCAGGTATTGCAAGGTGAATGATCAGAGTTGAGGATCCCCAGATAATCGGTGTTGCCAATCAATGTCGAGTGAAGGTGGTCGCAATACAGGCGACAGAGGGACAAATCGGGCAATCAGATAAGCCACAAATCACCGAAGCATAGGTGGCTGCTGAAGTCCGGCTTCACGTCTCTTCAGGTCTCCAGCTGACCGGAAATGATCTTCAATACTGCAGAAGAAGAAGAAAGAGGAGGAGGAATGAAAGAAGTCAGGTTAAACAAAGGGAGCAAGAGAGTATGATGGCTGGGTAAATACTTGGCTGCGTCTACAACACCGTCAGGAGTCCCAAGGGGGATGACTGTCAGCACGTGATGGCTGCCTCGGGCCCCAA